AAGACAATGTTCCTGTTTCCATTGTTGTTGTTATTACTGCCAAAAACAATGTTAATGTCTTCATTATTGCCACTGTTTATGACCACTGACGGTTCCTATCGTTCGTCATCTCCGCGACCACTACCGTTTCCGCGGCCTCCGCCGTTGCTATTCACCATAAGAGGTTAAACGAGTATGTGAATCAGATCGGGTAACCCTAACCCAGAGCTCTTGATACCATATTGGAAGAAATAGATAAAAGCCTTTGTAATTTTATTCATCGGACAAAGGCTGGTTTATATAATGAGAATACAGTAAAAATACTTAATTCTCTCGTTAATGGAAAATAAAAGAAAATAAATGACAATAAATGTAAACAATTAAATATGGAAATAAAATATTTTCCAACAGTTAATTAATGGAGGTTTTCATGACAAGGAAGAGCTATGGGATTTGAGTTTAAGGCGTTATGAATGCCTTGAGAAAGTTTCAGAAGAGTACAATGAATTTTGCAGAAATCAATGGATAAAATTGCATGTTACCTCTGAGTTGTTATTGAGTTTTTGGGGAAGAGCTGAGGTTAAAACAACTTACTTGGTTGATAGAGAATTTCTTCAGAAGAAGAATAGTGAAAACCAAGGGAGGAACCTGAGAGAAATTATAACGGAGAAAACTCAATTTGAGGTGGAGTTTCCTACTATGGATGCTAACAGTAGTGAGGGAACGGTTACAGAGATTTCTGATTATCATTTCACTCATGATAAGGTAAAGAGAGTTATTGTAGCATCTCAAAGGGACGGTTATGCTAACCTTGAATATTATGTTTTTAATGTGGATGAAGGAGTGCAAAATAAAAGAAGAAAAACCTTTAAGGAGGCATTTGAAAACAGGTGGAGTTAAGGGTGATTGAAAGACCATACTTATAGGTTTGTTAAATTACCTAGGCAGAAAAGGGTAATTGTGAACAAGTGGATTCAAGTTGCGAGATCAAGATTCAAGGGTTGCTTGAATTTGATCAAAATTATTGATTAAAGTTTCAACTTGGTAGAGGGTAGTAATGTTGTTGATTGTTAAATTGGTATCAACGCGATTTAAAGTCAAGGTGGAGATTGTTGTAAATGTACTTTAAAGCATTTGTTGATAAAGAGAAACAAAATATATTTTGCAGATTGCATTTACTGCGAAAATCGAAAAAATAAAATAAAAAATTGGTCGGTGAATAGTGTCGTCGGCACGGCGAATAGATTTAAAAGTATAGCATAGAGTTTCAGCTATGCACAAAGAAAACCTTGGAGAAGTAGGGAAACACTTGGGTAGAAAATACGGTTGTTCTTGGACGCCTTTATGGTCGAAGACCATTTATTTTATTTGCTATTATTCTTTACCTCACAAATTGATATTAAATTTTGTCGTAATTCAAAAAAAAAAATTCACAACATAACTCAAACATCATAAATTGGTATAATTTTCTCTTAATAGAGTGTTACCTAGATAATGACACCTTCCTCCAACAGAGCAGCTCAAACGTGGTTTTGGCTGATATGCTGCTGCAGGAGATTAGTCAGATTTCAAAGAAAAGGCTTTGAACATTGAAATAATGACATGGTGTTTGGCAGTAACAAGAAAATTCAGCAATGGAATGTGTCCCACTCTTGACTTTTGGGGGGATCAATAATGACATTTCTCAACATTTTCAAGTTGTTGCAACTTTGACTCATACAAATCATTATAATTGCCAATGAATTAATACCTTGGATCTTAAACTGCACCCCAAAATTGAAGTGCAACTCATCAAACTCATGAAGTTTCCTTACATTTACATTCTTTCCACAACAATCCTTCTCTTATTTCTGTTTCCTTACTCAGTCATCTGTCAACAATTATACATAAACAACACTGTCACTGAATGCGAAGACCCTTTAGCACCAAATGGATACCTATGCAATACCCCTCAAAGGTCATCATGCAATTCATTCTTAGTTTTCAGATCCAAACCTCCTTATGACAATCCTATAAGTATTGCCTATCTTCTTGGATCTGAAGCATCAACCATAGCTTCAATCAACAATATCTCAAAAGATACCAAACTTCCTTCCAATAAAACAATCATTGTCCCTATCTTGTGCTCATGTTCTGGAAATATCTATCAACATAACACCCCTTACACTGTCAAAGAAAATGATACCTACTTTCAATTGGTATATGCAACTTACCAAAGCCTCACAACATGTCAGGCTTTAAAGGGTCAGAATTACTATACTTCTTTAAGCATTAAAATTGGTGATGAGCTCACAATTCCAGTACTTTGTGCTTGTCCTACAACAAAACAGATGGCGAAAGGAATCACCTCCTTGCTGGTTTACACAGTTAACTATGGTGAAACTGTTGAATCTATAGCAGAGGCTTATGGTGTTGATGAACAAAGTATACTAGAAGCAAATGAGTTACAAGTGGCACCCAATGAAAACAGAAGGGTGAACCTCTTTGCCTTGACACCTATATTGGTTCCTCTTAGAGGCAAGAGTTGCAAAGAGGATCCTGATAGTTTCTATTGCACTTGCTCTCAAGGAAGGCTTGCAGAAGGAAGCTGTAATGAATCTCATGGTCAAAAGTTTCCTGCCAAATTGGTTGCTGCATTAGGTACTTTCGTATAAACCATTTGCAAATAAAAAATAATTCTGTTAAAATTTTGGTTTATAGCAATGTTTTTGACTGTGTGTTTTCAGGGGTTGGAATTGGTGCAGCCTTTCTGATTTTGTTTCTTGTGGGTTACAAGTTATATCAATATATACAGAAAAGAAGAGCGAGTATTCGTAAGGAAAAGCTATTCAGACAAAATGGTGGTTACTTGTTACAAGAGAAGTTATCGTCTTATGGGAATGGAGAAATGGCAAAGCTTTTTACAGGAGAGGAGCTTCAGAGAGCAACCGATAACTACAGCCAGAGTAGGTTTCTTGGTCAGGGTGGCTATGGCACGGTGTACAAAGGAATGTTACCAGATGGAACAATAGTAGCAGTTAAAAAGTCGAAACAGCTTGACCGGAACCAAGTAGAAGCTTTTGTTAATGAAGTGGTCATCTTATCTCAAATCAACCACAGAAACATTGTTAAACTCCTAGGATGTTGTCTTGAGACAGAAACTCCATTACTTGTCTATGAATATATTAATAACGGAAATCTTTCCCAACACATACATAGGAGAGACAATGAATCACCCCTTTCATGGGAAATTCGCCTACGAATTGCGTGTGAAGTTGCTGGAGCAGTGGCATATATGCATTTTTCAGCTTCTATTCCAATCTTCCACAGAGACATCAAACCAACCAACATACTTCTAGACAGTAACAATGGTGCCAAAGTGTCTGATTTTGGAACATCGAGAACAATTCCACTAGATAAGACTCATTTAACTACAGCTGTAGGAGGCACTTTTGGCTACATGGACCCTGAATATTTCCAGTCCAATCAATTTACAGATAAGAGTGATGTATATAGTTTTGGTGTTGTTCTTGTAGAGATTATAACCGGTAGAAAGCCAATAATGTTCAATGATGAAGATGAGGGTCAGAATATGACTGCACATTTCCTTTCTGCGATGAAATACAACCAACTTTCTGATGTTGTAGACAAGACAGTGCTTAAGGAAGCAAGAAAAGATGACATTCTTGCTATTGCAAATCTTGCAATGAGGTGTTTGAGACTTAATGGTAAGAAAAGGCCAACAATGAAAGAGGTTTCAGCAGAATTAGAAGCATTGAGAAAGGTACAAAGTTTTATATATATCAAAGATGATCAGAAGAAACCGAGTGATGAGCAACTATTTGAGCATTCAACTAATGACATATTTCGGGAGTCAACAGTGGAAAGCTTTTCACTATCCTCTCAAATGGATTATTAATTTATTATACTTTGTGCTTCATTTTCAGTTTATGAATGGAAGTGTATCCCAGGTATGGCTAAGAATAAACGACTCATTTTTAAACTCCTTAATCTGTATATATCAGTTCAAAAGTTCGATGCATCAAGACAGAAATTGACATGAGCATGTTCTTTTACTCTTTAATATGTATATAGTAAATAGACTGTACATTTCATATTTTATTTCCCCTAGAAAAAGTATTAATCATTTGGAATTGTTAAGATTAAGATTAGATATCGGTAAAACTTAGATTAAAAAAAGAAACACTTGTTGAAAAATAAGTAATTTATACAAAGTTTCTCGTGGCTGGAATTCACTCTTTAAAGATGAATAAGCAAGGTGTCTCGGGTTCGAACCAGCGTCCCTACACTTGATATCCCTGCACAACTACCAACTAAATTGGTTTAACGAGACTAGTTATGTTCTGTCTTGTAGAAGTTTCATTGTTCGGCCTATCACTTCTCATGTTTCATGATACCTAGAGGTCATAATACAGATAAATATAAAGAAAATGGTAAATGTTAATAATTCGGATATGTCTGAAAGCAGAGACTCTACTCTAGTAGCTGTAATTTGTCATTAAACTTCACCAATTCATCTTCACCATTTCTTCCAACTATATCACCACACTTTGATAAGCATATTATCTCTAAATAATTATACAAAACAGGATCAACAGAAAATTGAATAATCTTAGTCCAAGATGACTGCACTCCATACTTTTGCATCACCCATATCTTGACTGTATTCAGGTCCTTCGCCCATGCACTGATAAGTCCTCCAACTTCCAACAAACCATAGTATATAGAAAAATTATTACTATTACTGAAAATAAAATCATCTGGCAGAGCCATCTCTGGTATGGTCATTTCCTTTAAATCAAAGGCAATAATAACATTCTTTGAGGTCTTATCATTATGAACCATCCAATGGATAAATCCATTCAAGAACAACCCGCATTTCCATACACCAGTCGTACTATAAGGCAAATGAGAAGCAACCTCAATTGGTTTCCACTTATTACCTCTCAATGAGTAAATCATCCATTTAATAGAACAAATTACCGCATGATTCAGATGAACTTCGCAGAACCCGGAAACTATCAAGTAATCATCGGTGGAGTGGTCATATGCAAAGCCAGAGAGAAGTTCGAAACCATTATAGTAAAAGTATTTATAAAAGAGTCGGGTATTTGTTTGTTGACCCCGGTGGATGGATTCCATAGGTACAAGTATTTGCCATTAAACAGCATAAACAGAAACCCTCTACAAGAACCTTTGATTTCAAGAGAATATTCATAAGGAAAATGCAGACTCAAAAAATCAAGGGTTAATGAAGCATGTGCAGAACTATCGTGAAGCGATGCATCAACATCTATGGATAGGGCGGATTTAAGATCAAAACCGTTTATTAAGACAAGTCTATGTGTGGCGGCATGTTCACAATGTGAAGTAGCAAAATTGTTATCAGAGATGAGAGAAAACCATGATTTACAGACGAACCTGCAACATAATAAAGTTTTAACAGGTAACCTTAACAGAATTTCCATGATCAATTCATGAGGAAGATACACGCTCTTCACTCTCTTCTTCTTAGCCATGTTGCCGACTAAACAAAGTAATATCAAGCCTATTATATACGCTTATAAAAAAAAAGTATAAAAGAGTATATTCTATGTTAATGGCTTGATATAACGGTCCACCCAATGCATTTTTAGGGTTTAGTATGATTTTTTAAATAACGGCTTGATATAACTTAAGGAGTTTAATTGATATCCACCGACTGTGTAAAATAATTTTACAGTGTCATTTAATAAAAATTTATGAATCTATCAGATCATATTAGAAACTTAAAATTTACAGTGTGATGTGAATGATTGGTTGACAATTTATATCAATTAAATTCTAACCTAAAAACTATAGGAGTATTTACGGATTTGGATCCTTTCCTTTTTTATATATCATGTCATCTCTCATGTTTCTAATCTAACGATTCAGAATTTATAATGAATAATTAAATAAAAAAAAGTCATTTAATAGGAGAGAGAAATGAATAAGTAATTTGTCTTTGTTATGTTTCTATTAAATGACTTTTTTTATTTAATTATTTATTATAAATTCTGAACCGTTAGATTAGAAATATGAGAGATGACTTTTTTTATTTAATTATTTATTATAAATTCTGAACCGTTAGATTAGAAATATGAGAGATGACATGATATATAAAAAAGGAGAGGATCCAAATCCAATATTTACTATTTCTAATTTATTCAACTATGAGAGAGTATTTAATAAAAAATTTAATTGGTATAGACTCAAAGTGTAAAATTATTTTGCATGGTTAAATAATTACTCTCGTGTATCCCGTCACATCTGTAATTTTTAAGTTAATGACATAACATGACAAATTAATAAATTTCTATTGGATGACAATATAAAATTATTTTAATCTGCCATGTCATTAAATTTTTTTAAAATATCAATGAGTTTAATTGGTATGCACTCATCTGTCAAGTCATATTAATAACTTAAAATTTACAGTGAGATTTAACACGATACATAATGGTAATTGGTTGACACTGTAAAAAAAATTGTACTGTCAGTGCATATTAATTAAAATATTAATATGATGTGGCGAGTTTCATGGTTGTCATTGATCTAAAAATATTTTACACGGTTAGTGTATCACCCATTTTCTCTTCATAAAAATGTACTAATATTTTATTTAGTTTCAATTTTATTTAATTTTAATCTAATTCATTAAGGAGTGTATATATAAATAGAAAAGAATAATTAAAAATAAATAGCATTTTTACTAGCACATAATGATTTAGAAAATAAAATAAATATATTTTAATAGTAGATCATGGTTTAATTCTTTCTTTCAAATCAACTAGAGTTAAAGAATCTGGTAAGCAAAAAATTTAAAACATTGAATTAAAAACATATATTATTTTAGAAATATATCATAATTTAAAATGATTTAATTAAAATACATTGATAATATAAAAAAAATTTACACTATCAATTAATTATAGACATTGGACGATGTAAGAAGTTTGATTTCTATTTTAACAATTTATAAAGTAATACAAATGAATGATGGTGATGAATTGACAGTGTAAACGTTTTACACTGTCAGTGCATAGTAATTAATCCCAATTTAAAATATATTTTTTTTCTATTATAATAAGATATAAAAATTGTATTTAGCATTTATACACCTTCAAAACGTTATAATAAAATTATTTTCAATTTATTTAATTTCAATTTTAATGAAAATCAACCAATTGAACCATTTTTTTTACAACAATCAACTGATTTTTTTTAATCAAAATTTTGATTTATTTTTGGTTAAAATCTATTTTAGTAGAATTGGTTTTTGTTTGCATATTGCCCTAAAAATTATTTCTATCAATAATAGTTTGTTAGGCCAGCACGTGAGTCCTCCTAGTATTGAATTAGAGAATTTTTTACCCTAGCACTTGGGGTTCATAGGCACCATATGCGCTTTCAAAAATTTCTCCTACTTTCGGAGATGTATCTCTAGAAGTATTTTTTTTACTCAACATTGGTTTTTTTCGGAGCTACATCTATGGAATATTTTCGTTTATATAGCTTCAGAACAAATTGGAATACATTCGCGCCAAAGTCCCTTCTCCTCTCTCATTCTTCATTTTTCATCTTCTTCACTCTCAAACTCTCCAAACTCTCTCATTCTTTCAAATATCTTTTTCCACCAAACTTAACTTTTTTCAATCAAGTTCGGCAAGGAGCAATCATTTCAATGATCACGACACTCCAACTCATTCAAAACTCGATATAATCGGTAAGTTTTCGAGGTATTTTCGAATATTTCCTATAAACGAGTTAGAATATAGTTTTAGGGGTAGAAATCCTTAGATAGTTTTAGAAACATTGTTTTGAGACAATATAAGTATTTTTTGTTGGCTGAAACGGACGATTAGGGCTTCAAATAATCGATTTTCATGGGTAGGGGACGCTATTGTCGTGGCTGTTGGAGTTGCAGGAAGTTCCGGAGCTACATTTACAAATCAAATTAACGTTAGGACAATTCCTTAGATGCAACTCCAAAACAAATCAAACTTTCTAAATTCTGGGTTCTTCCGTAGATACATATACGGAAGTTTTTTGTATGTTCACATCCGAAAGTAAAAAAATGTTAATTTTTTTGTTTTTTTTTGTTTTTTAGTGTATTTTTACCTAATTGTTTTTGTTGGTTATACCTTGCAGACATTATGCTAGACAGAGAAGATATATTGCGACTTGGACGACTTTCACAACATGCATCTGTGAGACGTGAGCGGAGCCAAGCCACCGTTACCGAGGCTGGTACAGTTGAGGCACATCTTTTTTCATCACATACCCAGGACATTCCCTGACCTCGTATCCCACCCCATCATCCACTTCTTCATCCTAGAGGCGTCGGGATTTAGCCGAGGGTTCATCACAGGCCCCGTCCTCCCGCAGGCCTCGTCGGGATACTCCTGGTCCTCCTCCTGCCGATGATCCGATGCCACCTCCAGAGGGTGATGACCCACCACCGAAGAATGCTGGTGACGATGGCGATGATGAGCCTAAGGGTTTCCCAGGGGTCCCTCAGATATGTCCCTACTAATAGGGTACACTGACCATACTGCCAGACATGTCTGGGATGGAGAGGTAACATTACTCAGATTGTTTCTTTTTTTATTGGAAATTTATAATTTGTACCATTGTTTATTATTAACATTATTTCTTATTTATGGAAATTTTCAGACTCGCCATCCGCAAGTTCTATAACCACGGGAGGAAGATATTATCTTTGGAGCAGCCACATTGTTAGAACACAGATTGGTTCTTAATTATATCTCTATGTTTTGATGATAACTTTTATAAAATTTTGTATTAAGAAATTATATACTCTAAAATTTGTTCAAGTATGTTTGCTGCAGATATTAAAGTTAATATACTTCTGAAAGCAAATTGGATCTTGAACATAGAACTATGCAAGGTTCTGAAGCGTCAGAAGCATCTATTAGAAGAATCTAAACGCTGCCTACAGAAGATTCTGAGTGCTGCCTACAGAAGGATCTGAAGCAGAAGCTATAGAAGCATCTGGAGCATAGTCTGAAGACTTTGTATGAAGAGTTTCAAGCATAGTTTTTCAGAAGACTCTGATAGTACTGTACGCTGCAAGTACTGAGGATCTGATTCCTAAAACTCTGCTCTAATGAAATTACACACTGAAGCACACTTGCTGCAATGCTCTGATTCAGAAAACTCTGATGAACATCAAAGACTCTGATCACTCAAGGCTCTGATGTTACTTGCTGAGTATTAGAAACTTGTTGAAGAAGAATTCAAAGTTATGTCCGTTGGTTAGGCCAAACGACTCTTTCCTCATTTATGCTAGACACAAGAACTCAGGAAAAAAGGTTAACTCAGACAAAAAGGTTACAGCTACTTTGCAGACACGGTCTTCAAAGCATGCAATGTCTTGGATTTCTAAGCCTATAAAAGCAAGTCTCCAACACTCTTCTTCAGTTGACGAATTATTGAAAGAAATTCATTGAAAAGCTCTCATACAATTTATTCTCATTGCTAAATTTATTTCATACGTTCTTAAAACTTAAGTGTAAATCACTATTGTGATATAGCTTACTTAGAAGCATTCAAACAATTGTTTAGTTCTTACATTTGATTGTAAAAGTTCCTTGAGAAGACCCAGTTGTGGTCAGTAGTTCTTGAGAAGACTAAGAACAATTGCTCTTAGTGCTTGCTATTGTAATCAGTTTGATTAATAGTGCATTAAGTCCTTGTTGAGAAAGGCAAATCACTCTTGATAGGGTGGACTAGAGTAGTTGAGTTCAACGAACCAGGATAAAAATCTTTGAGTTTTTATTGCCATAATTTTTTCTATATACTTATTCAACCCCCCTTCTAAGTATTTTCTCACCTTCAGTTGGCATCAGAGCTCCGGTTCTGTGTGTGCTACCACTTCACAGTGACAGAAAAGATCCAGTGAGAAAACTTTGATATATATTTGGTTGTTATTGTGGCTGAAACTTCAACATCTAACAGTAACAACAAATATGAAGAAAGGGATAGAATCAGCACAAAACCCCCTATGTTTGATGGGGAGAAATTTGACTATTGGAAGGACAGAATAGAAAGTTTCTTCCTTGGTTATGATGCTGATTTATGGGACTTGGTCATTGATGGGTATGTTCATCCCACTGATGGGGATGGCAAGAAAATTGATAGAAAATCTATGACTGAAGCTCAAAAGAAGGAGTTCAGAAATCATCACAAAGCTAGAACAATCTTGTTAAATGCAATATCTCATACTGAGTATGAGAAGATCACAAACAGAGAAGCTGCATTTGACTTGTTTGAGTCTTTGAAGATGACTCACGAAGGAAACTTACAAGTTAAAGAGACCAAGGCTCTAGCGCTAATACAGAAGTATGAAGCGTTCAAAATGGAAGAATCTGAGTCTATAGAAACTATGTTCTCTAGATTCCAGATCCTCACAGCTGGTCTAAAAGTGCTGGACAAAGGCTACTCAACTACTGATCATGTGAAGATCATCAGAAGC